CTATTGAAGAAAGGCTGACAGTCTACTTCTGTAAGATTATAGCCATTGGAAACCCTATGGGGTGTGGTTCCACTGTGACACATACGGGGTCGTTGTGAGTTGGAATTGACTCAACAGTGCCTAATAACTGGAAAAGATGGGCAAAAATTACTAAGTTTGCGAAAACCAAGTGTTAGTAAATAAATAAGGAAACCTGAACTTGTATACATTCTGGTAAGTGGGTAAACTGATAAAACTATTTGGGAAAGAAATTTGTCACTATCTAATACAGTTATCACAGGAGAAAGATGAGACAGTCTGCTTCCATAAAGATTACAGCCTTCAAAACCCTGTGGGGCAGTTCTACTGTGTTCTATAGGGTCACTATGACTTGAAATCGACTTAATGGCAATGGACTTTGGGTTTTTTGGAATAAAGTTGTAAACGCTCATACCTTATATAAACTTCCATACATAAATACAGGAATATACATTGTGGTGCTAGTAACAAAAATATGGAAACAATAACTCTGCCCCAAGAAAACTCACTGCCGTCAAGTCAAATCTGACTCATAGCGACCCCTCCTTGGGTTTCTGAGGCAGTATCTTTAGGGAAGTAGATTGCCCAATCTTCCTTCCAAGGAGTGGCTGGTGGGTTTGAACCGCCAGCCTTCTGGTTAGCAGTCAAGGGCCTTAGGCACCACGCCAGCAGAGCTCTCATAGAATAGAATAAGTAAAATTATAGTTTACACTATTGAATAGTATGAGCAGTTAAAATGAATGAACTACATGCTAATTCGAACCTGAAAAAAACAATTTTTTTTTGACAAAGGCGAGTTGCGAAAGCATCACATATTTTTAAACCAGGTTCTTTAACTGTAAGCAACAGAAAATTCTTTTGATTTATGAAGAAAAAGGATTGATTGGAAGGGTACTGGGTAGTTCACAGAACTACCAGGAGAGCTGAGAGACGGAGAAACCAGTTTCCAACTCTTGGTGACCCCATGTGAGTCAGAGCAGAACTATGTTTCCAATTGCTGATTTTTAGGAAGTAGATCACAGGCCTTTTTCCCAAGGAATCTGTGGATGAACATGAACCACCAACCTTTCAACTGAGCTTATTAGCCATTGGCACCTCCCAGGGACTCCAAAGAATGAAGCGCTGAGACTAAACCCAGTGACTGAGGTCATCCCCAGGTCCTTCACTGCCATCGCCACTGGATCCAGACAGCAGAAGCTGTCTCTGGCACTGCTGCCCATGCTACCCGGAGGTTATCTTTTCCACAACTGCTCTGTCTCTGGGTGGCCCCTGCTTCTCTGTAGCACTCATGCACTCATGGCAGATGCCACCTTAAACTGAGAAAGGAAAAAAAAAAAAAAAAAATCTCACTGTCAGATTCCACCTTAAGGGTTGTTTCTAAGGGCCAACCAGTTGGTTTTCAACTCAAAGGGACCCATGTGACAGAATAGGACTGCTTTGTAGGAGCTCTGGTAGCACAGTCCCTAAGGCACTTGACTGCTAACCAGAAGCCAGCCACTCCTTGGAAGGAAGGTTGGGCAATCTACTTCCGTAGTGACACTGCCTTGGAAATCCAAGGAGGGGTCGCTATGAGTTGGGACCGACTCAATGGCACATAACAACAACATAGGGTTATATAGGCTGTAATCTTTATGGAGCAGATAACCAAGTCTTTTCTACCTCAGAGCCTCTGGGTGGGTTCATTTTTCTTTTTTTGGTTAGCAACTGAGCACGTAACAGTTTGCCTCACCAGGGCTCCTTACATTAGGGGTTGTTGTTGTTGTTGTTATGTGCCGTCGAGTCAGCCCTGACTCATAGCGACCCCTCCTCGGGTTTCCGAGGCAGTATCACTACGGAAGTAGGATTGCCCAACCTTCCGTAGGGGGTATGAATGGCAGACCTTAGGTCATATGCCATTCCTTCCTTGGAGACAGGAGTGGAGTTGGCCTTTTAGATTCTCTGGTGGGCTCTGCCTCCTACATACAGAGAGGCCTCAGATGCCCAGCAGCCAAAAGAATGACAACAGCTGTCTACCTATCATGTATGTAAAACCTATAAACACCCAAAGCAATAGACCAGATTATTTGCAGATACACACACAGATAATGAAAGTACAAAATCATTCCTGGGAACCATACACACTAACTCCTCCAAGGAAGGAAGGATGGGGGAAAAAGATGTGGGACTTTGTTGTAACTGTAACATTTTATTTCTTAAAAATAAAACCTCCAACACAAAAACATCAAGAATGTGAAGATGTTTAATCTTGGTGGTATGTATATAGGTATCATTTTTTTAATATACGTATCTGTATGTTATAAATATCCCCTAATTTGAATTTTTCAAAATCACTTCAATAAACCAAAAGTTTGTATCAATTAACTCAGGTCCCTGCAGGTGTCCACTTATGTAATTGTTGAAGGGTGTACGGATCCTGTGCTCACAAGAGAATTTTGAAAGTTTTGCTTTCTGGCACCTACCTATCTTTTGAGTTTTTTCCAGTGCTCATGTGCGGGCTCCATCTGTCTGCTGAGAATTGGCAGGGGCACTCAGCTGTAATAGTGAGATTGAGTGATGCTTGGCCAAGTGTTGACTTACTGGGAAGGAGTGATTCATTTCACTATTGAAATTCTCAGTCCTTTGATATGCCTCTCAAGAAATTATCTGGTTTGTAAATGTACAGCCAAAAACTGAAGAAGGAACAAGAACCTTTTTTAAAAAATGGGTTAATATTTTGTAAAACAACAACAACAACAACAAAACTCACCTTTGTTCAGAGCATTGACTCTACTGTGGCCAAAAAAAAAAAAAAACCTCACTGCCATAGAGTTGGTTCTGACTCATGGTAACCCCCACTGGGTTTCCGAGGCAGTAAATCTTTGCAGAAGTAGATTACCCCATCTTCCTTCCATGGAGTGGCTGGTGGGTTTGAACCACCGATCTTCTGGTTAGCAGTCAAATGTCTTAGGCCCTGTGTCACCAGAGCTCCTTCTACTGTGGCCAGTAAACGTGAATTAGTGAGTCTTCCTACACATATGATTTTTAGAACCAGGAACTCAATTTCTCCCTGCTTCCCTCACCAAAGAAATATTTAGCAAATATTTAAAGACTATGGGTTTGAAAGGGCACCATATGTGTTAGCCTGCCAGGGTTACCATGTGTCCATTTGGTCCTGAGCATAGTTCCTAGCATATAATGTTAGCTTAATAATTATTAGTTATTATTATTTTACAGGTTAGGAAGTGGAGGTCCTATGACTTGGCCAAAATAACTTCTTGTCAATACAGAGCTTGAACTGAATCCAGTGCTTTTGCCACCAACAAAGGCCTGTAGGCACTACCTTTGGGAATTGAGGACCTTCCGTGGGAACAGGGGTACATTATCCAGTAAACAAGAGAAATACAGGCTTACTTGTACTTACTAATCTGTAGTGAACAATTTCATATGGGTTTCACACATTTGTTCACTACAGATTAGTAAACACAAATAAGCCCATTCTTACTTGTTTCCTGGGTAGTCCATCCCTGTCAGGGATTGTCAATTTGAAAAGAAGCTTTGAATCTGTAGGAAGGTGCTGTGGGGTTGGAAGAGAGACAGATGCCAGCACACTTAGAAGCAGAATCTTTGATGTGGTGGAAAGAAAGTGCTTACCATGCTTATTGGGTAATCTGACACTGTGTGGGAAAGCTGGTCTGGGCATCATTTGGTTGGGACCACACGATCACACCACAGAGGTGAGGAGCACTGTCTACATGAAGTCTGGTCTTGGACATCACCCAGCTAACACAGGGTGCCCCATAGTCAAGACTCAAAACTCAGAAGTGGTGTGGTTTGTTTATTTAGCATCACATTTGGTAATAACTAAAGGGTGCATGCAGAGCCTCACTATACACTTATACTTACAACCCACCCTTTGTCAACAAGACATAGCTGGGCTCAGAGAAAGCTTAGAAACCCATAGTGACTTATACCATGAGTGACTTTGTGTGTGTGTGAGAGAGAGAGAGAGAGCGAGAGCGAGAGCGAGAGAGAGAGAGAGAGAAATGACAATAGGAAGAAGTGTGAGAGACACTGAGAGAAGAAACATTCAATAACCCCAACAGACAGCTAGCCGGGGATATAGCCCTACCTCAGGAGTCAGGAAATGACACCCCTCTGAGGTGATTAGCTCTAATTCTAATTAAGACATATGAAAAACATGTTTCCCTGAAACTCAGTGTCACAGTCAATGTTAGGCTTGGTGTAGCTGTCCTGTAGCTTTGTAAATAAAGGAAGTTTCTGGGGTTTTGCAGCTGTAGTCCAGTGGCTGGGTAACTGAAAAATTGACTTGAGGGCATAGTTACACCCTGCTCCCCAGACTTCTGCATGGAGCACCTTGTAAAGGTCTTGCTCTGAGGGGGAGGTTAAGAGTCTGTCACCAGGAGAAACCACACCCAGGGCCCAGTGGTGCTCAGGGTGGGCCTGAGGGGTACTCCACATCAAAGCATCAATTGTAGCCCAAAAAACCCAGGAGAGGGGCATGAAGAAGGAATGGTGGCCAGCTGGAGGGGGTTCTGCAGAAGAGCATGTGCAGTATAGGGGTCTGACAACAGCTGTGGGTGGGCCCCAGCTTGACTGGCCCCCACCAAGACAGAGTGAGCAAGAAGCTGGAGCAGCAGCATGAGGTTACCCTGTGTTCCCCAAGTTTTGTAGGCATCAGTAGCAGATGCTCTGTAGGGTACAGCCATCTGCAAGCCTCATTTCTTCTCCCCAAGTGCAAGGGATCATGTCCTTCACCTCTATGTCCCCAGAACGTGGAACAGTGCCTAGTTTGCAACAGATGGCCACAAACGTTTGGAGTCTGCCTGGAGGATGGATAAGGGCACCAGGGCCAGGAAGTGGTCTTAGAAACACTTCTAAGGAAAAACTCCACTTCACATTTGATCTGTTTGGGCTGATGGACTCTCTTTTGTGGCCTAAAATAGATTTAGGATCATTGTGGCCCTGGATTATTAACTGTACAATTATGGCCCCCAAAAGTCAATTTGCTGCTGATCCATCACCTGGAAAGAAATTCAAGACACAAAACCAGGCTTCAGGGATAGCTAGAATACTGTGTGGTTCTGGCCTCCACATCTCAAGAGAAGTAACAAGAATGGAGAAGGGCTATTGAGATAGTGATTAGAGTCTGCTTTACGAGAAAAGTCAGGAAACTAAGTTTACGGAGCATGTATGATGTACAATGTGCTGTTTTAGGGAGCTCTGGTAGCATAGTGGCTAAGGCACTTGACTGCTAACCAGAAGGCTGGCGGTTCAAACCCACCAGCCACTCCCCAGAAGGAAGATGGGGCAATCTACTTCCGTAGTTATACTGCCTCGGAAACCCAAGGAGGGGTCACTATGAGTCTGGTGCGACTCGACGGTACATAACAACAACAACAAAGGAATGACAAAGTCCCTGGACCCCTCCATGGGGGGAGGGGAATCACATGATTTTACTAACTACTCTCCATGTTCAGGCTGTAGGAAGACGGGTATCTACAGAGACCTATAGTTCACATCGTGACTTAAGTTTTTTACCTTGAAAAACAGATCAGGAGTCTTCAATGCGTAAACATGGTTGTGTAGATTTGATAGTCATACATCATTTAGTATGATTCTCTCTCTCTCTCACTGCCATCGAGTTGATTTCAACTCATAGCAACCACTCCTTGGGTTTCCAAAGTGGTATCTGTATGGAAGTGGACTGGCCAGTCTTCGTTCCGAGGAGTGGCTGGTAGGTTTGAACAGCCTGCCTTCTGGTTAGCAGTCAAATGCCTTAGGCACTACGCCACCAGATTAGTGACTGAAATTAGTCATCACATTTCCAAATACTGACCATTAACTTCCTGTTCTCACTTTATCTCCTTGGTCAGAAACTTTGAGGAGATAGCTATAGGACAAATCATAATACTGACAGCAAGCAACAGTCCTGGTTGCACAATGATTAAGTGCTTGGCTGCTAACCAAAAGGTCAGTGGTTCAAACCCACCAGCTGCCTGCTGGAGAAAAGACCTGGCAATCTGCTCCCTTGAAAAGAGATTTACAGCTTTGGAAGCACTATAGGGTAATTCCAGTCTGTCCTATAGGGTCACTAGGACTCTGAATTGACTTGATGGCACACAACAACACAGCAAGGGGTTACTTTATGAGAACTTTATCCCAAAACATACACAGGTTGGAAATATTTGCCAAGAAAGGCTTGGACACTGTAATGTATGCATCAGCTAAGACAAATTGGAAATGTATGCCCAATTTTATTGGGCATGTATGCAGAAGGTGCACCAACTATTTATTTTTTATTTGGAAGATGGGAGGAAGAGGATTTAAGTGACTGTTACCTAGTAAGTACTCAGTAAATAGTAGTTATAAACAGTTTTAATCTTTGGGTTCAGAATACCTTTTCCTTTGCACTCTTCTTAGCAGCTAATACCTACCCTACCCTGGTAGGTAGGCGTCAATGCCTGGCTCTATGGAACAGATCACTAAAGATTTCACTACTTGTCCTTGAGTTTATGTTAAGAATTAAAGTGGCAACCTTTCCAGCATGGGTATTCAAGTGTTCGCTCAAAATTAGCAGAATGCTTTTCCCTTTTCCTTGCTCTAATCAGGATTCCCATGGCCAGAACAGGTAAAGGGAGAGCCTCAGGCAGGAAGCAAGCCCACGGCTGGAACAGTTAAGGGGAAAGCCCCAGGTAGGAAGCAGGAGACAGGCGGACAGCCTGAACAGGTAGGGGGAAGGCCAGGAAGTGAGCGGAGTGGGTTGGAACACCTAAGAAAGATGAACTTGTCTGTCAGTTTGCCATACAGTGGTGGCTTATGTGTAGCTGTGAGGCTGGAGGCTGTGCCACCAGTGTTTCAAACACCAGCAGGGTTGCCCATGGTGAATGGGTTTCAGTGGAGCTTCCAGACTGAGAAGACTCAGAAGAAAGAAGGGGCCATCCACTTCTCAAAGAATTGGCCAGTGAAAATCTTATGAATAGCAGCAAAACATTGTCTGATATATTACTGAGCAACTTCATGAATAGCCCTGAAAAATTGTCCAATATAGTGCTGAAAGTGAGCCCCTCAGGTCAGAAGGCACTCAAAATACAACTGGGAAAGAGCTGCCTCATCAGAGTAGGGCCAATCTTAATGATATGGATAAAGTAGAGCTTTTAGGGCCTCCATTTGCTGATGTGGCATGACTCAAAATGAGAAAAACAGCTGCAAACATCCATTAATAATCGTAACATGGAATGTACGATGTATGAATCTAGGAAAATCGAAGTTGTCAAAAATGAAATGGAACACATAAAGATTGATATCCTAGGCATTAGTGAGCTGAACTGAACTGTTTTTGGCCATTTTGAATCAGACAACCACATGATCTACTATACTGGGAATTACAAATTGAAGAGGAATGGCATGGCATCATCATCATGAAGCATGTTTCAAGATCTACCCTGAAGTACAATGCTGTCATGGATAGGATAATATCCATATACCTAAAAGGCAGGCCAGTTACTACTACTACTATTCAAATTTATGCACCAACCACCAAAGCCAAAGATGAGAAAATTGAAGATTTTTACCAACTTCTGCAGTTTGAAATTGACTGAAAACGCAATCAAGATATACTGATTATCACTGGTGATTTGAATGCAAAAGTTGGAAACAAAGAAGAATCACCAGTAGTTGGAAAATTTGGCCTTGGTGATAGAAATATCACTGGAGATTGGTTGATAGAATTTTGCAAGACCAACAACTTACTCACTGCAAATACTTTTTTCATCAACACCAATAGTGGCTATACACGTGGACTTCACCAGATGGAGTACACAGGAATCAGATTGACTACATCTGTGGCAAGAGGTGATGGAGAAGCTCAATATCTTCAGCCAAAACAAGGCCAGAAGCTGAATGTGTAACACACCATCAACTGCTCATATGGAAGTTCAAGTTGAAGTTGAAGACAACCAAAACAAGTCCACAAGAGCCAAAATATTACCTTGAATATATCCATCTTGAACTTAGAGACCATACAAACAATAGATTTGATGCATTGAACACCAGTGACTGAAAACCAGAGGAATTGTGGGATGACATCAAAACATCACCCATGAAGAAAGCATTAAAAAGACAGGAAAGGAAGAAAAGACCAAGATGGATGTCAGAAGAGACTCTGAAACTTGCCCTTGAAGGGAGAGTGGCTACAGCAAATGGGAGAATTGACAAGATGAAAGAGTTGAATAGAAAATTTCGAAGAGCAGCTCAAGAAAAGGTCAATTGTTCTAATGAAACGTGAAAAGACATGGAGTTGGAAAGCCAAAAGGGAAGAACACACTTGGCACTTCTCAAGCTGAAAGAATTGAAGAAAAAATTCAAGCCTCTAGCTGCAATATTGAAAGATTCTATGGGCAAAATATGGAATGATGTAGGTAACATCAAAAGATGTAAGGAATACACAGAGTCACTGTACCAAAAAGAATTGGTCAATCTTCATCCATTTCAGGAGGTGGCATATGATCAAGAACCAATGGTATTAAAGGAAGAAGTCGAAGCTGCACTGATGGAAGTGACAAAAAACAAGGCTCCAGGAATTGATGGAATACCCACTGAGAAGTTTCAACAAAGGGATACTGTGCTGGAGGCAATCACTTGACTATGCTAAGAGGTTTGGAAGACAGCTAGCTACCTGGCCAACTGACTGGAAGAGATGCATATTTGTACCCATTCCAAAGAAAGGTGATCACACAGAATGGCAAATTATCGAACAATATCATTAATATCACATCCAAGTAAAATCTTCCTGAAGATAATTCTAAAACACTTGCAGCAGTATATTGATAGAGAACTTCCAGAAATGCAAGCTGGATTCAGAAGAGGACATGGTACAAGGGATTATCATTGCTGATGTCAGATAGATCTTGGCTCAAGGCAAAGAACACTAGAAAGATGTTTGCTTGTGTTTTCTTAACTATGCAAAAGCATTAGATTGTGTGGATCACAACAAATTATGGATAACAATGAGAAGAATGGGAATTCCAGAACACTTAATTGTACACATGAGGAACCTGTATGTAGATCAGGATGCTGTTGTTTGAACAGAACAAGGGGACACTGCATGGTTTGAAATCAAGAAGAAATGTGTTAGGGTGTATCCTTTCACCACACTTATTCAATCTATACACTGAACAAATAATCCAAGAAGCTAGACTATATGAAGAAGAATGTGGCATCAGGACTGGAGGAAGACTCATTAACAACCTGCGATACGCTGATGACCCAACTTTGCTTGCTGAAAATGAGGATGAGTTGGAGCACTTACTGATGAAGATTGAAGACAACAGTGTGAAGTATGGATTATACCTCAATATAAAGAAAACAAAAATCCTCACAACTGGACCAATAAGCAGCATCATGATAAATGGAGAAAAGATTGAAGTTGTCAAAGACTTCATAATACTTTGTTCTACAATCAATGCCAATGGAAACAGCAGTCAAGACATCAAAAGATGTATTGCATTGGGCAAATCTGTTGCAAAAGACCTCTTTCAAGTGCTGAAGAACAAAGATATCTCCCCGAAGACTAAGATGAGCCTAAACCAAGCCATGTTATTTTCAATCACCTCATATGCATGTGAGAGCTGGACAATGAATAAGGAAGCCCAAGGAAGAATTGATGATTTTGAGTTGCAGTGCTGGTGAAGAATGTTGAAAATACCATGGGCTGCTAAAAGAACTAACAATCTGTCCTGGAAGAAGTGCAGCCAGAATGCTCCTTGGAAGTGAGAATGCCCAGACTTGGTCTCACCTACTTTGGTCATGTTGTAAGAAAGGACCATGCTGTGGAGAAGGAAGTCATGCTTGGTAAAGTAGAGGGTCAACAAAAGAGCAGAAGGTCCTCAACAAGATG